GGGCCTTAGTATAATTTCACAGTCTTTCTTCAATGTTTTTTCAGATTCAACACCTTCCATGGATTCTTGATCCAAATTTAAACGAAGATCAAAAAGAAATCATCAAGAAAATAGCTGCACCTGCAATCGATTCTCCTCCTCTTGTGGTTTTTGGTCCTTTTGGCACTGGCAAAACATTCACCCTGAATCAAGCCATTCGTCGTATTTCGGTGAACCAAAATAACCGAGTACTCCTTTGCACACACTCAAACAGCGCGGCAGATTTACACGTGAAGTTGCTTGATACATACCTGAAAAAGGAACACGGTATAGCGGCATGTAAGCCTTTGAGAATCTACACCCCTTTACGAAAACTGTCCACCGTATCAGACATTGTAAAGGGATACTGCCCTATCTCTGACCGAGGAAAGCCAACAGAGGCATTTAGACTTCCAACTCGTGAGGAGGTGATTCGTCATAGAGTTATCATATCAACTCTCGCAATGTCACGAGCTCTTTTTGATATGCATCTTCATCGTGGATATTTCTCACACATTTTAATCGATGAAGCTGCACAGGCATTGGAGACGGAAACATTAACACCACTGACACTAGCAGGAAACAATACCAAAGTGATTTTCACTGGAGACCATATGCAGGTATGACCTTAATTCACCCATTACTTATCACTCTTCCAAACTTTGAAGGCTTCTCACCTAATCAAGAAGAAGGTTCTACTTTCGATTGATTCTTGGACAAAAGTACCGGAAAATTCTTAAAATTAGCCCCGGGGCTTATATTTTTCAAAGGCCCTTTTTGAGGGGCTTATTTTTGGAGGGGCTTGTATTTGGAGGGGCTTATCTACGGAGGGAAATTTCCGTTTTTGCTTTGTTTTACTTTGTATTTGAGGGCAATTTTCCAAGTTCAAGCCCCCGGGGGGTTATATTTGGAGGGGCGATTTAACGGAGGTTTTTTTGCGTCACCGGTTTGGGGGGCTTATATTTGGAGGGGCCTATTTTCGGAATTTTACGGTAACTTTAGGCAGGGACGTTAAAATTGAGCCGCTGTAAGCTAAAACGGTGGCGACTGATGGATCAAATGACCTTACTAGTTGACAGATGTAACAAGTGCTGAAGGTTTGATTATAACTTGATGACCTTTAAACCTTTTACCGACGAAAGCTGGGTGTATCAAACTTTGACTTTAAGTCAGCCATAAGCTGAGTCAAGGTTTTAGTATAGATTTAATTTGTTACAAATATTTAGTTTATAGTATTTCAGCTCTTCATAATGTTCTCCTGATTATTTAGTTTGACTGTTCTTGATAATATGCAGGTATCGTCAAGACTTTATTTCTGTACTAAATTTCAGTGAAAGCTCTATGTGAAACTGCAACATATAAACGAAACGTCCTTGATGTTATATTGCCTTCCTATAACTGAGTGCGCTTTTTAATTATTTGTAGATGAGTCCTGATGTGTTCTCGCCGCAGGCAAAGGAGTGGGGATTTCAAATTTCGTTACAGGAAAGATTATTTTACGACTACAGGCAGCGTCGAAAGGAACCAACATTGGGCCCAAATCTTATCCTGCTAACAGAAAACTATCGCTCAAATGAACGGGCGCTTCAGTTCTCGTCCGACATGTTTTACGGAGGTCGGCTAACTTCAGGTAGCGAGCAGCCTCTTCATCCTAGTTTAGGACCGCTCCTATTTTTTGCTGCTCTTGGGAACGAAGAATTCGACGAGACCAGTGCCTCTTTTCGCAACTTGGCAGAAGTAAACGAAGTTGTGAAACGAGTCAAGGAACTATCCGAATGCTGGCCTGAAGAATGGGGAATAAAGAACCTCAGTCAAATTGCAGTGCTATCATCATATAGTTATCAGGTAGAACACTTTATTCCAATTGCTAAAGGTTAGTGTTAAGAACAAAGAAGCATGGGACGTTATGTCAAAGGCATCGATCGTCAAGGGTCAGAAATCTAAAAGGCTCATTTTTTTTTTTTTAATCAAGCAAACCATCTTCATTCAGAAAATGCCACTTCTACATTTGGCGTCGTCAGAAACCTTTTATAGTCAGAGTAGTTTACCCTCAAAACTCATCAGTCTGTTCGTTGACATTGTCTACAAATAATGCAATAATTGGTATTAAAATATATCTAGTAGTAGCCGCCTTAACTCTTAATCTCTATTTATTCTTAGGTTAAGACAATTCGAGATGGGCTTAGAAAAGTGGGCCTTGGAGACATAGATGTGGAAACTATTGAAAACGTCCAAGGCAAGTGAAAGATTCTCTCCAAGCATTAATATTTAGGTATAAGTAACTGCAGGTATTCAGCTGGATCTTGGCGTTCAGATCTTAAATTCATTAACAGTTATTTTATCTCGTGGGACTGGAAAACTGCGAAAGGTTGAGAGTTCGGGAGGTGAGATTTCAGTTGCAATTTAAAAACTCTAAAAAAAGAGAGGAATAGAATTCGAAAATTGCAAATTTGGCTACGGTTTTGCTCAATTTGTAGGAGCGCCATCGTAGTAGTATTAATAGCAGCAGTAGCAGCTAATAGTAGTTTTAATAGCAACTCCTGTATTTTATTCTACTACTCCTTCTTGCTATATTCAAAGACAATGCAATTAAGGGAGGTTTAACGTTATTGTCAATCTTGCTCTGTTCTGACGTAACCTGTGTTTGAACCGGAAATTTTTGGAAAAGAAATCATTTTTATTTTCCAGCTGCCTTAGTTCCCCTTTTAGGACCTCTTTTAATTTTGAATTTATGCATTTCTTTTTTGTTAGGAAAACAATTCCGAGCTCTGTTCGTCAGTACAGTTCGTACTCTTCATTCAAGCCAGGAGTCACGCATTGTCGATGACAGTTCAACCGAGAACCCCTACTTGTACTTTCTGTCAGACCCAAAGTTGCTCAACACCGCTCTCACTCGTGCCCAGTCACTCATTGCCGTAGTCGGTGATCCCTTCTCACTGAGAACCATGGGTAATTGCCAAGGATTATGGGAAGAGTTTATCAAGCGATGCAGCGATGACGGAAACTTGTTTGGTATTGAGCACACTGAGTTGGAAGAAAGTATTTCCCAAAGTGGTCTAAACATAAACGCGTCCGAGTTTGTGCCAACAAAGACAGCTGCCACCATTCTGCAGTCTTCCAAAGATGCTAGGGATTCGTCTCACAGTTCCCTTGAAAATTGCTTGGATACGCCTTTAGAAATAGAGGATAACTCGTCACCTGTAAATGAGGCGAGCCGTTTATCTCAAATACACGACCCCTCTGAGGTTGCCAAGCACCATGTTTTAGATCAAAGTGCACTCGACTCTACTGATGCAAGTGATGAGCTGTCCGAAAATGACGGTAACGCTGATGATTTCGCAGAATTTGACAACGTCGACGAAACTGTTCCTCCGAAATCTATGGATCCTATCATTCAGGCCCTAAAGAAAAAGTGTGAAGAGAAAGCGCTTAACCAAAAGCTCAAGGCTAAGGCGAAGAGTGAAGAGAACACAGAGGAAACAAGAAAACTAAATTCTTGCACAGAACAAGACGTAGATGAGTTGGAGCTTCATGATGTTCAAGAACAGAACATAGATAATACGACCACTGGAACTAAAATAGTTCACGGAGATTTTAAGATTACAACAAAGAGAGGGAAAGTTAAGATCTCTCTGGTCAACATGAAATATAAGTACAGCGAACGCACCGAACGGCTTATAAGCCAAAGTAATGCGCACGATCAGGAGCGACTACAAACGGAATATCTTGATCGATTGTTAGATAAAGACCCTGAACACTATCGCGAATGCACATTAAGAGTTAACTTCGATAGAGAGAGAACTGCGTATGGCGTGTTACGAGACTCTGATAGCGAAGACATTATTCTCGAAGGAAACACACGACAAAGCTTTGATCGAGATGTCATTGTTGTTAAGTTGTTGGAAAAACCTTCCAACAACTGTGAAGAGCCACAAGGATCTGCAGAACTGAAAGGTTCAGTATGCGATATTCGACATCATGCGATCAATCTCCGTGAACGGCAGTTTGTGTGCACGATGTCAAGGGAAAACCCGAGGCTAATGTTTCCTATAAACGAATCAATGGCCCCGATAGCTAACCTTAACGACGAATCTATTCGTGGTGTTCCAATTTACAAACGAATACAAGCAGATGAAAAAGCAGTGCGTGTTAAAGTTCTACCCCTTAAAGAAGCCTTAAGTGGTAAACATTACTTTGTAGTCCAATATTTACAGTGGAGATCTGAATTTCCTTACCCTCTGGGAATAGTGACTAAGACGATCCCCAGAGGAAAGAATCTTACAGATGCGTTCAAGCTGCTCCAAAATGAATATAATCTGAAAGAAGAATTTCCAGAAGAAGTTACCAAAGAGGTGGAAAGACACACCAGGGACTGGTCGTATATCCCTTTCTATGAAAAAAAGAGCCGTCGACGTGTATTGAACGCTTTTACAGTTGACCCTCCCGGAAGTAAAGCTCTGGATGATGCCTTAACTCTCGAAGAACTAGAAAATGGTCTCTACAAAGTCGGCATCCACATCGCTGACGTGTCTTATTTTGTTCAAGAAGGAAGTAAAATCGACCAGGAAGCTCAAAAGAGAGGACTTAGTTACTTGAAAGGGCACCGTGGCGGAGAAGTCCTCATGCTTCCAAAGGAGCTAAGCCATTCTATTTGCAGTCTGCTGCCAAAACAAGATCGGCTTGCGATCTCTATATTTATCACTTTGGACCAAGAAGGTCGTATTCAAGACGAACGAACGTTGGACTTCTGTCGAACGATTGTAACCTCGCAATGCCGTTTGACGTACACACAAGCGCAGAGCATAATTCTTGGAGAGTCTGTTCATTGCAGTTCTGGGGATGGAGAGTTGACGAAAAAGATAGAAAAAAGTATACGTAACTGAAGTTTATTAGCCCAGAAGAGACGGAGAATTCGTCTCTCCGATGCATCGTTCTTTCATTTTGAACACCCAGAACGAAAGCAAGACTTTGAGGCTCACGAAATGGTTGAAGAAATGATGATCCTGACCAATACCGCTGTGGCCAAATACCTTCTTACCGAAAAACCAGGGCTCTCGCCGTTGAGAATCCAGCTTCCGCCAAAAAGACGTAAGTTGGAAGAATGGCGTGAGAATTTTGGGGAGTTTGCCACGTTTTCGCTTTCCCTTAGTAAACATTTGGCTTCTACTCAAGATGTTGATTCCACGCAATCATTTGTCATGCCAAAGTCTACGTGGAGCGACATTTGTAATAAGCGGCGCCGTCGCAATAAAAGAGATCTGAAACTTCTACTTTGTAACGATAATGTCTACCCTCAACTTGCAGTCGCCCATTCCTTTCTTAATGATGTAACAAGTAAAGCTGACGATGTAAGAGCGGCTGAAGTGGAAGAGGAGCACCGGGTACACTGGTCTTTAAATGTTCGTGGGTACACTCGCTTCACCTCCCCTATTCGTCGCTACCTTGACATTTTGGCCCATCGTTTATTGCTAAATGACCCTGCGAGTCAAGACCCGGCGGTAGACGAAGTTGCCCAAGTTGTTCGCCGATGTGGATATTTGTCTGACAGATCGACGGCTTTTGAGAAAGATTGCGGCCGGGTGCAAGTGGCGGAAAAACTCAAGATTGCAACTTGTGAGTTTACCGCTGTCGTTGAAATGATTGGAGAGGATTTCCTTAGCTTGCATCTTATGTCAGAAGTACATCAGTATCTCTCTCCAAAACAAAGGAAGATTAAAATAAGTCACCTTGGACCAGTTGAGCAACCGCAGCTAGGCGAGTCTTTTCAAACTGTAGGGCTGAAGTGGAAGCTTAGAATGTACGATGCTTCTACAGAGAATGTTGAACGGTCAAAACGGCTCTCAAGTAACGCTCAAGATCGCAATCTCCGACAAAACTGGGAGAAGATTTTGTCTTTGCTTTGTGAACTGTCAACGTGTAAGTCATATAACATTCCTGGAGGTCTCTGGCACCGCGTTTTGCATGCTATTAAAAAAGACGATGATACAGGACTGAACGCAAGTTTAGAAGAGATAGACACATTAATAACAAGCATTGAGAAAAAAAGAATCACGGAAAACACATGCTGTGAAGAGGTAGATGGTGGAGACTATGAATACGACATGGATAGCGATAATGACGATGCCATCCATGATGATGATGGTGATGATGAAGAGGAAGAGAATGATGATGATGATGATGATGATGATGATGATGATGATGATGATGGCCATGGTGATTGTGATGGTGATACAGATGAAGAGAATGATTTTGATAAAGAATATGAAAAAAGCGATGACGATAACGAGGATTCTGACAATAAGTTGGAGTATGAAGAACAAAACAAGAAGAAGGATAAGACAACAAAGGATAATCAGGAAAGGGGTGAAAGAAAAACGTTGGCCGCGTCGTCAAATAATGAGATCGAGAACGTGCACTTCGTAGAGACATCCTTGGTCCTTCAAGTTGGTGACAGTGTCAGCATACAACTTTCAGCAAGCAACGCTGATGCATTTATCTCACCAGAAGTGCAGTGTTTTAACTTATCACCCGATATCAACATCTGCCTCGAGCACAGAAAGCTAGCCGATAAATGTTTCGTAACTGCTGCATCAGGCAAAGATTCTCAGCAATGTTATAAATCCATTAACGCCTATGTTTATGATTGGAGGCCAGTAGTTGCTATGGAAGCCGCGACAGTTGCCGTAAAGAATGACGATACGTTCACTCTCCAGAACCTTGAAGTGAAATGGAGGGAGGATGAAAGTGGTAAATTTGTCGGAGAGTTTCGACTTGAAGAGAAGTACTGTAAAACAAGACAAATCGAGATTTTCACGGGAGATTATGCTTGCGTAAGGTTTGCTTGCCCAAAGTCATGCTCAAGAGCCTTGCATAGCCCATCCCGTTTTAGCGAAAACGAGTTAAGTACGTCCTCTGAATACCGCGGAGAATGTGGAAAAAATGACGACGTTGGGGACGAAATAGAAAGGAACCAAGCATCGAGAAAGACCTGCTGGGTTGGTCACTGCAACATTATTGTATCTGGCAGCCAACAGATGAACTTCGCCCTTAAGCTCTTTCAGCATTCAATGGAATTTCCGGATCTTTTAGAAAACAGAAACAGCTGGATTTGTACCGTGGAGATAATAAAACAGACTATTCCTTTCAGGTTATTATTACTAGCCTGCAACCAATAGGGTTCTTTTGTTCAGGTAGTTATTTTCAGGCGTTTAATGCATCTCCAAACGTCCAGACTTTTACTATAACGATTCTTTATTTACTGTATGTAATTTACAGTACCATGTCGTACATAAAGCGCTGCCCGTTTAGCAAATTTGTCGAGAGCGCTGAACTGCTGATCTTCCCTGACCGGAACTTTGCCAGCGTCCATAAGAAACTGGCGAAATCATGATGGGTGTAACTAGGACCTTACCTCAGAGTAGATGAAAACGTCATTTTGCGTTAAGACGTTGGTACTTCTATGCCTATTTTGAAGAAGAAGAGGGAATGTAGAACCCTCTTTTATGTGATTTATCTGAATTCGGCCGTCCAAGCTGACAAAGTAAGGACAGAACTGGAATGGAGCGGGAGTAAAGTGGTCCTTCAATACACTGATGTCTGATCAGACCTCTGGTTCCTCAGTCCACACCTCACCCACCCCATCTGTAAGGGAAGAAATGAGCTGTTTGTTTCGATAACATATAAACAGTACCGTACAGTACTGCACAGAGTAAAAGCGCTATTATCTCTCTATACTCTTTACGCGAAATCCACAACTGGCAACATTTACTTCAACGTCCTTGCTTTTATTGGGCCAGAACAAACTCTCTTTAGCTCTGCTAAGACATTTCTCTATCCCGTAGTGACTGTCATGGATTTTCTCATTTCGCATATTATACGGAGTGTTAAGACGATCAACATTTAACAAACAGACAGTTGAAACTCGTCTTCCTGTGATACAGACTCCAACTGACCAGCATGGCTGAGGGTATCTGAAAGGGGAATTGGTCACCAGGTTGTTTCTTGACTTTAAAACCCTCCTGTTCGCGAAGTATAGTTTGCTCAATGCGCTGCGGTGCCATAGACAACCAGAGTTTTTTGTTTACTTCTTACCATAGCTGCATAAATGCAATCTTGAGGTGTGCAGGTGCCAAAGACAATAGTATCATAGTGAAAAAGTTAAACTCACATTAAAGTGAGCCATTACAAGTAACTAAAACTAGGTATCCGAGAACCGACCAAGGAAACGTCGTTTTTCCCTGGCTTTAGAAGCAGTTTTATGAATGCTTGTCCACCTTAGGTGATATATTAAGCAATCATTTCTTCTCATGCTTTCTGTTGTGCTTCCATCCACTACCATTTCAATAATTTTTCCAAATGCTCACGAAGTGGATTGTACATGCTAGGTAAATTGGAGATGAACTTATGCAGGTCATTTAGCATATATATTAATCATTGCGGCCTTGTGGAAATGGCATATTCAAAATGGCTTGAATTCCGTCCGGGTTGGGGATCTTAAACCATCAGTCCCGAAAAATATTCCACATTTTAACTTCCTGCCTGTGAAACATGCGCTTTTGCTCATTGAATCTTAAATCATTCCCCACCCAATACTCTGTTCAAAACCTGTGAACAAAGTATTGATCATGATCAATGTGTGATCACCATCCTCTGTATTCTTTCCTCGCATTAGGAAATCATGAACAATAACTTTGCATTTCCCTGTGTCGTAAAATATCTCAATCATGGCTCTTTCAAAAGATCCTTGGGCAGATATCAGACCAAATGGCAACCTTTCAAATTTAAACCGAGAAACGGCATGTTAAACGTAGTAGTAAGCCAAGTACTCGGCCAATTTGATTTGGTAGAACACCAACTTATCAAACTTTCGCTTCTGACTTCTGTGGCTTCCTCTCCCATCGGTTTCGAGGGGCAATGCTCTCTTTTAACCGCTTTATTTATATCAACAGGATAAAGGCAGATACGAACATCTCCCGATGCGGCTTTCGGGCTAAAAAAATTGGGTTGACCCACTTGATGGGTTGCTCAGTTGTAGTGATAGTGCCCATCCTTTCCATCCGACACAGTTTATTCTTGACTTTGTCTCTTAACATGATTTCATGGCTTGAATACTTTGACCACCTTCTACTGTCAACCACGAAACCCTTTTCCTTACAAATAATTTTCTGGGGTGACGTTACAATGAGCTCCAGTGTCAAGCCCGGAAGGGATGTCGTTTTGTTGAACTTTCAAATCTGTGAACCTCTTGTTCTCTATGCATTTTCTCTTAAAGCACTAATAAAGAATGCCTGTTCGTCTGTGGTACTTTCTTGGTCAACTGCATGAACCTCCTTTCTTTCAGCCTAGTATACACTTGTGAAATGGTTTAGACCTGTGGCAAGCGTTACAATTCTTTCGATATGCAAGACAACGGCCTTGTTTTTGACGGTATATACAGAATTCAATAGACGTGAAATCCCGAGTTCAAATTCTCGGCCACGCTTGTAAAATGCTAATTGGTTGCTTTCTATTACTTAGGATTTTAAATCCTGATATGTTCTATTTGATCAATGTTTCTAAGCATTTGAGTGGAGTACCTGTAAACTGGCTTGATAAGCTAAGTACACTGTTCATCTTGATACCTGCTTTGCTACCTTTCGCATTTCCACTCTTATCTTTCTGAATACTTGAAGTTGTAAGCAATCATCTGCTTTTAACTTCTCAACATTATCCGTTCGGAAAGTGGGTCGTGATATATTTGAATATATTCTATTTTCAAGATGATTGGTGCGGCCGCCGAACTCCAACTTTTTTCCAGCGCCAAAGTTTCACTGCTACATTTGCAGCCGCCGTTTGCAAATCGCTACGGAGGAATGTATGGCGTAAAGCTATTTCTCCGTTAAGAAGAGAAAGAGAGAAAGAATAACGCATTTTTCGTAGTTTTGTGAGAAGCGGAGGTGCCTAGTGTGGTGCGTTGAGATTGAAAGTTTCTGTGTGTGTAATG